TACTTAAGGGGGACTATAGGTTAGTCAGGAATTGGTGACAGCAATGGCCTCGAGATAAACACCTCTATACTGGCTTGTCTCTAGTCTATCCCCTCATTCCCTACCAAGTGTATGCATGAAGCGCAAGGAAATGGAAAACCTGCCTCCGAGCGCCAGTCCACCTGCACAGCCACGTGGCTGAAACAAAGGAGAGTGAATGATAAATATTGCTACTATTATTCTTGTTGTTGTTAGTATTTTTGTTACTAATATTGTCACTATTCCTGTTGCTATTATTGACATTATTATATCACATGCTACGTGTACACATGCTTTTGTACTTTTGTACTATTGGCATTTTAATGCTTAATCGTATTTGTTATTATGATATTCCTGTACTGCTAGTAGAAAGCTGACGACGCCAGCGAACGCCTTTGCCGCTGACAGCAGTTCCGCGGCAATCTTCGCATGCTGCTCCGTGCTCAGGTCGCCTCTTTCCCCTGGCTCAGCCCAGTACAAAGATTCTAGACTTTGAGCTGATCAGTCTGACCTGAGAGCAGTGTAACCAATTCTTGAGCGAGTGCTGCATGGTCATCAGGGAGGACCTTGGTCGCTGCTTTAATACTAAGCTGCTTTAGGGCCAGATCTCTGAAACTTCTGAGAAGTCAACACGAGCTATAAGTGGTCGCACACCTCGCCCATCTTGAGGAGCAGATGGTGGCTGATTACCTGAGGCAAATTTCTGACTGCTATATTGTAATAGGGTATCCATTAGGGTTATATTGGGGTTTAGTTGGGATAATGGAAAAAGAAAATGNNACTACACTATAATAGGGTATATATTTTGTACACCCATGGCGCTTGACTCGGGAAGCTGGGTGCTTTGCTGGCTTGCTGCCCTACGCTCTGGAGCAGGAGTTCGGCCTCACTTCCAACTTCATCAGGGACCCTCTCCATGCGACATGTCGGCTGTGGTCTCGGCTGCATGGCACCGAAGAAGAGATTGCCAGAATCTTGCCAAAACAATCTTAATAGTATTCTTAATCCTAGCATTACTACTATTTCAATTATTATTACCACTATTGATATTACCGTACATGGACTCACAGCCTTTTGAGCTCAATGAGCCAAACATGTCGGCAAGACACATCTTTGGCCAGGCCCACGTCACTTGAGAGGCTCGCAGTGCTTAACTGGCGACACCAAGCCTGGCTGTCACACATCAGTCATTCTCTACTATTGCTAGTGTTATACTATCATTATGATTACTATTAAAGTGATGGTTATACTTATATATACTTATGGTTAGTACAATTGTCATTACTATGCTTTCAATTACTACTGTATCAAACCTTCTTTAGTACAATCCCCTGACCTTGGGGGTTGTGTCGGATGGTCAGAGGGGCTGATTTTGCTTCGAGCATATCAAGACCATTGGGGGCCATTGAGGGGCCCCACTGGGTTGGCCCCTAAACCCATTGAAAAATATTAGTATATAGGGTCCCTTATTAAAGCCATTAAGGAAAATATTAAATATCCCAGGGGCCTACCCAGCCCAGCTAGATTGTCAAAGTCCGTTTCTGGTTGAGCACAATGCTAGCCTCTGCAATGCGAGCACGTGCATGACGTCATTGATGTAGGGCAATGCTGCCACCAAGCTAAATCTAGCCTGTTTCAAGGTCTCGCGGGCAACCCTCGCCCTGCGCTGAAACCTGTGTTTCGCACTCAGTCAGCGCCAGTCCTCGAATTCATCTTGGCCCATCTGCGATGATGGTTTTGCAATGTCTTGCTGGATCACGAAACTGCAACACCGTCTGTTGGACCACAGTGGGGCGTGGGGGGGGATGCTCTGCAACGGCCAGGCTGCCGTCGGCCGCTTCTTGGTGCGCGCCCTTAGCCGAACGCTCTCGAGTTTGTAGAAAGGCCACCGTGTGGGGTGACATCAGGTAAGGTCGTCATAATACGGTATTGGTTGCACTTATAACCCCGACCTGACTAGGTAGGCGTATTACAAACCACTAGTGTTATCCATGCTAACAGTATAGGGGGACAAGTGGAGCATTGCCTGGCTCCTAGGCCCCAATCCCTAAACCCTATGTATCCCCAGATACATCAATCAAATCCCTGCATCCCCGCGTGAATCCTGCAGCTTATATACCCTCTATACCCGAATATACTAGAGTAGTTTCCATTTTCTTTTCCATGATCCCATAAAACCCCTATATTACTCCTATATTATCCCTATATTATCCCTATATAATCCCTACATTGCCCCCAAACCCTAAACCCTAAATCCTAAATCCTAAACCCTAAATCCTAAACCCTAAACCCCCACATAACCCCTGTAGCAACATGAACACGAGGCCTGGCAGAGCTGATCGACAGCCGCAGGTCCGGCGGAGGTGGCTGCCCGCCTTTGGCTTGCACAGCTTGTGGCTTATGAGGTTTAGGGGTTAGGGGTTTAGGGTTTAGGATTTAGGGTTTAGGGTTTAGGGGTTTAGAGTTTGGGATTTAGNNGGGTTTAGGATTTGATTTAGGGTTTGGGATTTAGGGTTTAGGGAATATTGAAGGTACAGGAATTACATAGGGACCTGAAGGGCGTATAAGGCTTATCTAGAACGGAAACTACAATCTTACTAGGGGCTCTATAGGAATAGTGGAGAATCAAGTGGAATGTAGCAAGTGGAGAATGAAACGGAAATCGCGTTTACAAAGGGTTTTATAGTGATTGTCTATGCATGACAGAAGGGAGGAGAAGATGGATGGATGTCTTCCTTAGGAAACACTATTTGGGCTAGCCAATTATAACCACAAGGCATAAAGATGAAAATAGTTGGGTGCCTATGTAATACTGCTTCTATACTGCTAATGCCGGGTGGTATTTCAACCCAATGTACAATATCAACAGCTTAAGACAATCCTGGAACTGACATAATGTATCCTTGAGAGAAAAAGAGAAAGAGAGAGAGAGGGAGAGGGAAAGAGAGAGAGAGAGAGAGAGAGAGAGAGGCCGGGGGGGGGGCTCAGGCTACGGCGCTTGCGTCTCCAGCTGTTCATCACCTGTATCCGCTCCACCAATGCGCTGCTTAACCTCAGCTTCATTTTTCTGCGCCATCACTGGAAAGTTGGTGGCTTATCCAAGCAGTCTCTCAAGGGCCCCTATAGGCCCTACCCCCTTTTTGAGAAACCCCAAGCCCTTTACCTCAAACCTTTAAGCGACCCTAAACCCTGATTCAAACCCTTAACCCCACACATCTCTATACACCCATCTGCTTTCACTCTTCTGGGGGTAGGCCCCTCAAACCCTTTGAAAAATATTAGTACATAGGGTCCGTTATTAAAGCCATTAAGGAAAATATTAAATATCCCAGAGGCCTACCCAGTACCCCAAACCCCAAACCCTGAAAGTAGTTTCCATGTTCTTTTCCATTATCCCCTATACACCCCCAATATACTATAGTAGTTTCCATTTTCTTTTCTATTATCCCAATAATCCCAGGGGCCTACCCAGTTCTACATTGAGAGATCCTGAGACCATTGCCTGCTCCTTCGCAGTGTGTACCAAAGAGCTACTCTGCCTTGGCAGGGCGAGGCTTCCTTTTAAAGGGGTTATAAGGACTATATAGGGATTAGGGATTTAGGGTTTAGGGACCCATTACATAAGGACTATGTAGGGACCATATGAGCCCTGGACTACAGTTATACTATATTCCTTTCGATCCCCCTGGACCCCCTGTACATCCCCTAGTATAGGTCCCGCCCCACCTAGCTGTAGTCCGAAGCTAATAGGCTGGAAAGGAGGAATGGAGAAAAAATGGAAACAATTATTTGTTGACTGCCTTGTTGAAGGCGGTATAGGGTCAATAGGGTGCAGGGTTTTGATGATTGTAGTAGGCCCCCTTCAGCACCAATTCTGCAAACACTCGCATGGACATACCAAGATCTCAGGGAGTAAGGACGTGGCTCACGGACTTTGCCCAGCGCATCATTGAGCCAGGACATCAAAGCATGACATTTGCTGTTGAAGGGAAGCTTTCTTCAGCATGTGGGCTCTGAATGTCACTTGCTCAACTCCTCCACATAGACATCCACACCGAATCTTGCCTCTGGCAGTTCGAACCGAATCTTGATCAGGAAAGGTCTTGAAACGCGTATCATGTAAGGTCGGCGGAAAGCACATCTGGTGTCACTGGTCTGTCACGCAGCGCACATGCCAAAACTCAACGGCCAGTTTCCCTGATAGCTCACACGGCAGAACTCAGTGTCCGTGAAGAACTCAGAGCTCGGATGATGAGGCTTGCCGGTTCGCTTCAAGGGATTCCTTCAGAAACCTCAGCTGCCATTCGTAGCTCATAACACAAACTGAGGAGCGCAGAAACGTACGTCACAATTTTGGCGCCAAAAACATGACCACCACACCAACCGTTAACCACCACCACAACCCCGCCGCCGCATGCCGCCGCCACGGAAACTGCTGCAACTGGCACCACCGCTGGCCCTGCCATCGCCAACTCATAACTGCCAAAGCCACAGCCACAACCTTGACCTGAGTCCTCAACCGCAAACACTACTCCCAAGAAGGGCTTCCCAAAATGTAGCAATGAGACCTTGGCCCTAAATCCTGAAATCTCTAGTTGCTAAACCTCGTAGTCCTCCTCAAGACCGCAAAGTGCCACATCATCAGACCCACATCTTGATTGAGAATGACTAGATGTGTAGAAAAAAACAGAGACTGGCGCGAGGGCGCGCGCGTGCCCCCCACCCCCCGCCCAGCCATCGTTTTATGGCGGCACTCTGCGCATACCCCGCAGAATGAGCTCATAAATAGCTGCCACTTCACTCCCAGCGCGCTGCCACTGCTGACGCTGACGCTGATGCTGTTGTTCAGGCTTCTGCTGCTGCTGCTGCTGCTGCTGCTGCTGCTGCCGCCGCTGGCTGCCGTTGAAGGTGGCGGATGGTGGCGGCAGCAGTTTTGTTGGTTGCTGTTGGCCCCTTTGGCAGTCTTAGTCGTTGGTGCTGTTTGTTGCTTCCAGTTCTGCTAGTGGATGTTTTTGTTGTGAACTCTTGCTGTGCTCTTGTTGGTGCTTACAATTACTACGCCTGTGGCTGCTGGAATGCTGTTCGTGCTGCTGCTCGTTACTGCCACTGCCACTACAGCGGTTTCTTCATATATCTGCATTTCTTCTTACTTGTCAAACGAGAATTCACGTTACATCACATTGTCACTGTCACTGAAGTCATCTGAGTCGCTTTTTTTTGGCGGTTAAACCCAGTAAGATTATATTTCTTATATAAAATACTATGCCCCGAAAGGAGGATATGATCTTACTCTATAATGGGTAACATAATATCCTCAAATAAAAGACTACTCATCTAAAGCACTGGTAGTGGACTACCCGGTGCGGGCCATCTCAGGCCGGGGCAGGGCAAGGTTCTTCTCGGTGACTTCTTCTTTCGCAAAGGACTTGGTGAAGGTTCGAAACGGCTTCATCAAAAGCTTCAAAGTGACCGTCGGGAAGTCCTCCAAGTTGCTGCAAGCTTTGTATTGAATGACGTAGCTTGCAAGTTTCATGGAGAGTTTGCTCAAGCAGCCTGCGAAGAGCAAATCTTAGAGTAGTCTTGCCGTTTTGAAATCTGCTGCTCATGCTTTGCCAAGAAGAGAAACACGTTTTGCAAATCGTTCCTTGCACTCCAACTTCAGAAGGTTTGCTACGGGATCGCGCACGTCAAGGAAGACAAAGCCGTAGGATTTCCACTTCTTGGCCACTTTCTGAAACGTTCGAGCATACCTGACAAGTGTGAAGTGGAACGTGTCATGCAAAGCATGACAGACAGGTAGACATCCCCAAGGAGCACTTTTTTGTCTGCGTCTCGAAGATGTCCGGCGCGAAGCACACGAAGACATTGCCCTTGCCGCAGGTGGCGGCACAGCCGATAGAAACACGAAAAGCAGTTTACATTACAGATAACTTTGCAAGAGCCTTGGAACCTTTGCCAAAGACGCTCGTCAGGTCATCCATTGTTGCCTGCCAGTAAGCTTCAACAAGCAGCGTCCAACCCGTGCCAGGCAAGTAGCACTCACATGCAGGTCACGGAACATGAAAGCAAGATATCTGTTTGCAGAGGCAGCCTGACCAAACAGTGGCCTTGGAAGCAGCTCTGCAAACATTCCGTAAGCCTTTTATCCACAGAGGTCCAGACGCACTCTCCTTCAGGAACTCTTCAAGCATCTCCGTGCTCACTTGACCAGATGCGTCGAAGTGCTCCTGCGAGCTTTTGAAGCAACATCCGACGTATGGCATCTTGGTGTGCATCAAGGTGCTCCATCTCGTTCACCCCTCTGTAAACTGCAGCGAACGGCCTGCGTCAAGGCTGAGTTAACTGTGGTGATGTGCAGGTGAACAAATGTGTTCGCCAGTCCTTCCTCTCCCACCATCAGACCAGAAGAGATATCTTGTCCTATGTTTCCCAACAGCTGTCCAGCACTCGCACGCTCAAAAGCATGCAGTTGTGAAATCCTGGTGCCCCAGCCATCCATGTGCCCTTTCACGGCCACCGAGTCCAGCAACTCCTGATCAGTCAAATCAGCGGCAGAAGTACCGGCTCTGAAGAATCGCGCCTGGAGTTTTGGCCCACCCGTAGCTGCAAACATGGTCTCTGACCATTTCCGACGCTGCACGGCTTTATCGAACAGAGCCTGCGTCTCCTCAGCAAAGACAAAACCTTGACCCCTTGGATAGCTCAACTTTGACGCCACACAGTACGGCAATGCCAAGCATACCCCCCTCCACATCTGTAAGTACTGTTATTACTAGTACTATTACTATTACTATTACTATTACTATTACTATTACTATTATTACTACCATGCACTTCGGAGTCGGGCAACCCGAGCTCTTCTCTGCCGCCACCCATCATAAGGCATGTTGCAACTTAGTGGCAAATACTTCTACTGCAGGAATATCCACTGCAGCCACCTCAGGAAAGGAAGAATGTCTTGCCCTGGCACTGAAGTCCTCTTGCAACTTTTTGCATCAAGCGACCCATTGCTCTATGCTGCTTGCCGACTGAAAGCCCTCAAGCTTGGACAATGCTGTCCCTTTGCGGAACAAGTGGATGCTGGGAATACCTCGGTGTTCAGGGTTTAAGGGGGTTGAAATGGGTAGTAATTTAGAGTCATTGCAAGAGTACTCTTTGCGAGCATACGGACCATAGCTGGTTCCTCGTGCATCCAGGATGCTGGTCACATTCTGTGTAGCCTTCAGGTGCATGTTTGCAGCGAGATCAACATCCACTGACCCGCATAGAATGCCCTTCGTCTTCAGCTTCTTCGCAGCCTGGGCTGCGCAAGCTAGGCGCAAGGGTGGCCAGAGCTATTTGTATTTATGATAATAAGTATGTGTATTTTACTAAAAGCTTTCCAAGTCTTGCTGCATTCAAGCCGGGCGGACCTTCTTGAGCTCTGGCTGGAGGTCTGTGCAAGGCTTGCACGACTGGCGAAACCTTGGTCGCCGTGGCAGGCCCCAAGATGGAAGCTCTTCAAGGCTACCCAACACAGTCCAAACATCGCAACCAACACAATCGGCTGAGAACGAATACTTGACTGGGGTGATTTGGAGATGATGCTGCGGAATCAACATGCTTGCCCGCTCCACTAGCCTGTAGCTGTGCAATGACGTGCAAGCAGTTGAAGCTGAGGTCGCGGCGAATTGAAGCTAACAAGCACAGACTTGGTGCTGTTGATGGTCTCCAGAAAGGCCTCTGACTTAGTATAGAATCTAGAATGTCTACAGCAGCCCAAGAGCCATTCCGGTCAATGAAAATGGGAAACAGTAAACACGAACCAGGCAGTCCTTCTCTCCCTTTTTGCCATCAGGATTCCCAGCTGTCAAAGTGATGGGCAGCCGCTTCTTGGCTAAAAGGCACACAGGCAGCGCCAACCAAAGGAGCATTTCTCGCGCAAGCTCATGTCATGCTGCCTTTCTACGTCAACATGCAAGACCTATGCCAAAAGGTACCTGCATGTGCTGCGAGTGACTCGCACGCTCCAAAAGGCGAAAAACACAAGGGAATCTCATCTTGATGGAGTTCTGGGCTTGAGCATTTCTATCATGGTGTGGGGGTCTCAAGTCTAGGCACTCAGCTTTGTGACTGGAGGAAGGAGCGGCTGCACAGCTTCAGAGTGCTGATGTGCTGATTGGGTCCAAATATGGTCCAAATTAAGGTCGCCCTGGATGTACCCAAACATGAAATCCCTTTATTGCCTTATTCGTCTGAGTAGTAAAGTTGGAACACTATTTCGACCCACCCCCAGGGTAGTGTGTGCACACGTTCAGGTAGCAGGTGTGGTTGACCAGCAACACTGTTTTTTTCTGTTGTGTCGCTGAAAACCGGTGTCAGAATTCGCCGCCCTGTGGAAAATGGAGGCAGCGAAAGTCAGAATGCCTCTAGCTGCACTGCAAACAAGCCGCTCCAAGAAGCGTGTGTAGTTTAGGTAAGTAAGTATGTACTGCTATGTGCAGAAGACTCATGAGTTCTGTTGGAGGCTCCTGCAGCTGTATGACTACGACATCACTTCGTTGGTGTGAGCACGGAGGAAGCCGCCGACTCAATCAGCTGCTTCGCGTTGGCTGCGGCATCCGGCGGTATGGATGCCTTGACAGTGTCGCTTAACTTTCCGACGGCTTGCTCCACAGTGGATCCAGGAATTTGGGACACACCCCCGACCACGTTGGAGGCGACTCCCAGCGTAGCCTGTGCTATTGGAGTCACCATTGTCACAGCCTGCCCCACAGTGGAGCTCACTTGCGGGGCTGCATCTGCAGTGGCATCCAAAACTTTGGCTGTGTTTGACAAGACGTCTGGTGCTGCTGACACCAATGCACGCACCACTGAGTTGGATTCTGTCTCAGGGAGACCTGGGAGGCCCTCCTTGGCCAGACTTCGGGCTCCCGAGGCTGCATCACGCAAAGCCGATTGCGCCATCGGCATGCCTTTCTCAACAGCCTTGCCCAGAGCTTCCTCCGCGGCTGGCAAGTTCTTGGAGGCAAAGTCCAAGCCCAGAGCCCCAGCGCGCAATGTTGACCTCAAGGCCTCTCCTGCAAGACGCCCAAATGCGGGCAGCGCATCTTTCTCGATTTTTTCCGGAGCGTTCTCAGGCGTCAGGCTGGAGACCCACTCGATGGCAGACTCGGCCACGGGAAGCTCCTGTCGAGCGAGCACTTGCAATCATGCTCCTAACCTTCCTAATAGGTCCTCGCACTTCACACCTATGCATGCTTCTTGCGCCTTCTCCACGACCTCTTCGGCAGCAGGGAGCTCGTCGGCCACGGTTTTCAGCGTGTCTCTGGCAGACTTGGCAAAGTCTTTGGCCCACGGCAGGTCCTGCCTGGTGGGCACCTTGGGCACTACCTTCGGTGCTGCAGGTGCCGCAGGTGCTGCGGGTGTGGGTGTTGCTGCGGGCGCTGGAGGTGATGCCTCCAATCTTTCAGAGACGGTGGCCCTGGACGGGGCAGTCACAAGAACTGGCGCTGCGGGCTTCGGACGCGCTGAAACAGGTGTCTCAGCTGGCCGTCCAGACGTAAGGGCCAACAACACAACACCCAACGTGGCAACCCCAACAGGAACCAGAACGGGAGCTTCGGATGCGGCATCCAAGCCTGAAGCTACAAACTCCAGTGCCAACTGTTTGCCGCGTGCCGCAGCGCTTTCTTTCCCTGGCTTAGCAGCCTCCTTGCCAGCTTCCGCAGCCATTTCCCGAGCTTGCTTGGCATATCCGGCAAAGTCAAAGTCCAACTCGAACTCATCCTCTGAGACGTCCTGAGCTTTCTGAGCCTCACGTTCAAGACGGAGCTTCTTTTCGGCAACCCGCTCCTTGGTCTCTGCGGTCTTCTGGGCAGCTCGCGATGGCTTGCTCTCCTCCGCCTGTTCGCTCTTTGGTGCAGGGGCGCTTGCAAGCTCTTTCTGCAGCTCTTTCTCCAGTGCTCCCTGCGTCTGGTTCAAAAGCTGGAGTTCTTCTTCCGCAGAAGGCTGCGCTGGCTGCACCTCTTTGGCTAGAACCTTTGCATCCGGCTGAGCTCTCCTGACCACTGGGCTGGCGCGGTTTCCTGGGACGCCCGCGAAATCCCGCTGGACCAGCGTGCAGAGTTGGTAAACGAGCACTGCGAGGCAGAGCACGCTGCATCGAGCGCCTCGCGCATGCTTGGCCATGAGGCCGCGGGTAATCCACTTACCTAATGCTACACGATGCTACACGGCCGACTTCTGAAAGCCAAACGGCTCACCATGCAAACGTCGAGACGTGGAACTGAGCACCATGCATCAGCAGATGATGGGACAGCAGCGCTTGCAAGCAGGATGTTTCCACTTCGCGCAAATGCTGTGGATATGCTGGCAGGTGAAACTTCCCCGGCAAAGGCGAGGGAGCTGCAAGCTGAGATTTTCTATCCTCCTGCAGTGGCCTGCATCACGCAGCTGGGAGGTCTTAGAAAAACTTGGCTCTCCGAACTGCGTGCACGAATTCATCTTCGTCTAGAAAACCGTCGCCATTGTCATCAGCCTAAGCAGTGCCAGGACGATGCTGCCAGTAACTCACCTGCACAACACCTCGCAAGCATAAGTCTCCGTCATCATCCAGCATCTCTTGTATCTCATGGTCGGTGAATGGAAGCCCGAGGTCGTCCACCAGTGCCCTCAGCCAAGGTAATGCCCAAAACCCCAAAACCCTAGGGCCTACACCCAAGAGCACATGGGGGTTTCCATAAACAGGGGTTTCAGCAAGCACTAAGACTCCAACATACCTGTCCTTATTCGGGACCCACCCCCTGACGTTCTTTTCCACATGCGATTCCACACGGGGGAAGGGAGGGGGGGGGGGGTGGATGAATCCATGGCAAATGCTGACAAGGTGCCGAAGGCTCTGCCAGGTGATGGTCTCACTCCTAAGGCTAGGGTTTAGGGTTTAGGGTTTAGGGGTTTAGGGTTTTAGGGGCTTTAGGGTTTTTAGGGTTTAGGGCTTAGGGTTTAGGGTTTAGGGTTTAGGTTTCGGGTTTAGGGTTCAGGGCTTAGGGTCTGGGATGGTATTCTCCCTAGGTTTAGGGTTGAGGATCTAGCAGTAGAGGGTTGAGGGTCTGGGAAGGAAATCTCTCTAGGCTTAATGGTCGGGGCTGAATGTGATCACAACATGCAAATTGGCTGACAATCTGAGGGTTACAACACACGCACGCACATGATTCGCTATTTCTTCTTGTAGTGAAGGTATATGCCTAGAAATTAAAGGCTTCCTGCCCATATAACCCTTGTGAATCCTAGCTGACATCTCCCAGCACACCTCGAAACCTTTCAGGGCCAGGCCCAGCAGTCACGAAGAGAGGGAAGGCCTGCAAACTCCCGACTTCTCTTAGCGGTGGCTTTAGGGTTTAGGCTTTAGGCTTTAGAGTTTAGCGTTTAGGGTTTAGGACGTAGGCTTTAGGGTTTAGGGTGGTTAGTAGGGACTAATAGGTAGATTATAGGGATGTTAGGGAGATGACAAGGATATTGGGAAGATTACAATAGCGATTGCATAAGGATATTGTAAAGGGGATAGTACGGAGACATTATAATAGGGAATGTGCTAATGTAAAACCTATATAATTCCTTCCCTACTAACCACCAATAAGTTATAAGGGCTCTACTGACTCAAGCCCTGCAATCCAAACCCTGAGAATCATAGCCTTGCTTGGCCTTTACCTTGAAAAACATATCCTTGCAGGGGAGTGTCATGGGGGGTTAGTTAGCAGGGTAATAACCCCTATAAGCCATATAATAACCCCAGTTATCCTCAATATTACCCCACTTACTAAGTCCCCATGACCCTCCAAGTATTCCCTGCTAACCCTAAAGCCTAAATCCTAAATAGTAGTTTCCATTTTCTTTTCCATAATCCCTATATCAATCTGTACCAGTCCCCATGACCCTCCAAGTATGAAATCAGGCAGGGAAAGCAACCAACTCATCTCAACAAAGGCCAGTCCAGCAGCTGCAAAACTCATGAACTGACAGGGGTCAAATAAACTACTATCATACACTAATAGTAGTACAGCAGTAGTAGTAACAACAACAACAACAACAAGAACAACAATAATTTCAACAACAAGAATATCATCTTTAATAGTGATAATGGTAATTGTGCTTACGAAGTCCCCTAAACCCTAAACCCTTAACTCTAAACCCTAAACCCCTAAACCTTAGCAGCTCTGCTGTCGGATCCGCGCCTTCCTAATGACGGAGGTAGGCTCCCGTGCCCTGTCATAGAACTCCAAACACAGGGGCTTTTAAGGGGTTCTAGGGGTTGTATACACTCCTGGAAACTAACATGGAAACCAAAAAGGGGCCCTATAAAAACTACAGTCACTCTAAAATGGGGCTATATGGGTTTCCATGTTAGTTTGGGGGAGTGTAAGGTTCTATAAGGGGCTTTGTAGGGATTCTATAGGGATTGATGTTTTTCAAAATAAGGCTCCCCCCCAAGAAAATCTATACCGCCCAAGAATGAGTCACCCCAGGAGAAGCATCAAAGGGACAATGCGGGAACGACGAAGGTCTCCCAACAGGAACTACAAGAAAAAATCATGTTAGTTATGGTCTAAACTCCCACCATCCCCCTGAACAACCCCTGTAGTAATCCCCTAGATAATTCCTTTTTGAACCCCCTTTTAGGAGTTTAGACTATAGCTCATACGAAGCAGCATCGGAAGTATCTTGTTCTTTGGTATACTCCTCCAAGCTAAGGTTCCTGTTTCGGGCCTACCACCCCCAACAAAATCCTACCTCTCAATCTAGCGCATGGGACCACTAAAAAAGGAATATCTGGGGCCGTAGCAATACTTTCGGCGCCATCATCTGTAAGAACTCGTCCAGCTCAATTTCGCCAGACCCGTCCTGTCTGCATCATTCCAGACGAAACGGTCGCGTCTCAGGCAGGGCCCCAAACATACTCCTGCATTCTTCTATGACAATTTCCGTTACTCTTATTATTCTGATTGGGCTATCAAGCCCAGACTGCCAGTGGCCCCTCTGTATGCAGGAGCTATTGACCGAGCTGACTATTCTGGTTTTTACTGCCTGTGTTTTCATGCTGGTAGACCAGAAAGGATCAGCCAACCCCCCACAATCTTGTCTGTCACACGGACGCTAGGAATTGAGCTGGCACTTCCCCACCTTGTCTACGGACATCATCATCGCCACCAGCTCCTCAACGGTTCAAGACGACCAGTTGAAGTAATCATATCAAGATATGTAGCTATGCATATGCGGATATGCTACATGTTGAGCAATTATATTTCTACGTGAAAAATCCAGCTTATGGAAACCATGGCACAGAAACCCGAAGCCACATTGGACGAGCTTGTTCTGTCCTCCCGCGAAGTGGAGGAGAAACCCAGGACTGACATCAGCCCCTGAAGTAGCAGCATCGCGCTTGCAAGCACAAGTTTACTGCCATTCACGACAATATTGCAACATAATAAGATATGACGTAGTTCACTGATATATGCGCCATGGCCGCAGCAAGTTGATTCCTCCCTACACATTGCGCCTTCAGTTCACTGTTGTCGATGGCCGCTGAACCATCTGTGTCGTACCTCACACGCGACGCGTGCTAAATCTAAGTGGAGAACATGGATTAGGTGGAGCACAAGTCAAACACCTCTTTCAGCTCCTGCTTCTGCTCCTGACTTGAGGACACAAGAGGGCCTAATCTTCATCCCGTCTCAACCTCCCAGCTTGGCATCAAGTCTCCTCCCTGCGGTTGGAACCCTTGCTGTCCTCAGTTAAGTCGCGCTGTCGCTTTCCGGAGGTGTTGTACCGATGCCTCAATGCTGCAAGCAAAAGAGAGTTGGCCCTGGCTGCGCATTGCAAATTGCAATAGTTTGGCGTTCGAGTCTCCGGCAGATATTGCTTCACTTCTTCAGACATGCTGCTCAACAAGTCCACGTGTTCTGCTTCACTTGGTTGCTTCGGATCAGGTCTTGTTGCGCCCAGCCGTCCACGTGTGAGCACTTAAACCTAACGTACCCTATATAACCGCTATAATATAGTAGTTTCCATTTTGGTTTCCATTATCCCTATATAACCCTATATAATCCCTATATATAGCCCCTATAATCCCTGTAGTTTCCATGTTCTTTTCCATTATCCCTATATAAACCCAATATAACCCCTATAAACCCCTTTAAAGGGATCCCTAATATATATACTATAGTAGCTATTTCCATTATCCCCTATATAACCCTATAATAACCTTGAATGGTTCTTGGTTCCTTCACAATGTCAGCTTGAGCGGCCATGCGTGTTTACACAATGGCCCACGCAGGATGGCTAGCTCCAAAGGTTTTAGGGTTTAGGGTTTAGGGTTTAAGGGTTTAAGGGTTTAAGGGTTTAAGGGTTTCAGGGTTTAAGGGTTTAGGGTTCAGGGTGGTGGGAGCTTGAGCACTTGCTGCGGCTTGGATGGTCTTGCACAGGTTTGACGCTCTGCCCATCTATGGCAGCAGCGGGATCAAGGTCGACCTCTGCAGTCACCCGCGAAGGAGTCCCATGCTGGTGATCCTATAACCCCATTATATCATAGTATCCCTATATACCCATTATATTATAGTATCCCTAAATACACGATAATATACCATAGCATACTATAATATACTATAATAAATCACCCAAACCCTAAACCCTAAACCCTAAATAAATCATTCTATACTGACGAATGTGCAAGCGGCTTTGGTTTTGGGAGGCTCACGAGCCAGGTGAACTCCGAACTTGTCTTGTGAACCAGGCTACTGTTGATGGAGGAAATCGTGCACCACCTTAAGTCCCTAAAATCCTAGGAGTTACAGTAGCCTAGGGCCCCTAGGTGGTGCAAGATTTCATCCATCAACAGTATGGTGGGGCCCAGATTTCCCAGGAGCTCCTGCAGGAATCAGGCGTAAATGGACATGGATGCCGGCGGGACTACCTGCAACACGAGGGTTTCGAGCTTAAGGGGCTTGAGGGCCTGACTCTAAACCCTAAACCTTAAATAGAAGTGTCCATGTTCTTTTCCATTATCCCTATATATATCCCCAATATATCCCCCCTTACTCATGCTCGGTCGGGGATGGGGGGGAATGGGCTATAGAGACCGTCAGACAGAGGGGCTACTATAGGGATCCAGGCCAACTGCAAGGCAACAGCATGCCAAAGCAGGGGCATATAGACCCCTACTACACTTTAATCCTTATTATAGGGACGTCCAAAAGAGGTATGTGTAACTTTTGGAAACCCTCAACCCTAGATAGTAGCTTCCATTTTTCCATTCTCCCTATATAACCCTTCTATTACCCCATGTGTAAGCCGATATAATCCCTATATAACCCATTATCTCTATATAACCCCTTTATTACCTCATACAATCCCTTTTAGTTGAAGCAGGCCTTCTGCAAAGCTTCGCGGTATTTCCTGGCACAGGTCGCTACGGCTGTTGCCACTGAAAGTCAGAGCCCTGCCAGATTCAAGAAGATGGCCCAAGTTGCAGTATTACCTCCGTAGCTTTTTGGGTAAACCAGGGGAACCTTTAACGGGGTACATAGGGGTTATATAGGGTTCCCACTTAACTTTCAGTTCTGCCACAAGCCCTTTTGAGCGCTGCCCATGTTAAGCCGGACTAGAATCATGGCATTCTCTATTCTATTCCCTACTTGAAGGTTCAGGCAAATCATGAGCCCGATTTTAACTGGCACATTATGGAACTTAGGGGGCCTTGCGTAGGATTACGAGAAGAAACATGTGCACTGAGGAATTAGAGTCTGGAGAAATCCTGTGTGTAGACCTGAAAAAGTCCAATTACCCTTACAAGCGAAACCCTAAACCCTAAACCCTAAATCGAAACCCTGAAGGCAGCCGGGGGTCACTACAATGGACCCAGGTGGGTAGAGATGCTTGGGACATGGGTGGTTGTCAAAATTATGGCCAATTTTAAGGTACCCTAAGTTTTAGGTGGGGTATTATTAGAGGGATCCAAAAAGGGACCATAATTTTGACAACCCCCCACATGCTTTTCGGAAGTTGGGCACACCGTTTTGTCTTGCTGCTTTTGCTCTCCCGGAATGAGTTTGTCGACGCCGCCCGGAAAAGGGAAACCCGAAACCCTATATGATCCCATTCTGGTAGTTTCCACTTCACTTTCCATTATCCCAATATAACCCAAATGAACCATCAGAAATCAGTGTCGAGGGGCCAACCCAATTTCTTATTCTGCCTTCTCGGATGACAAGAAAAATTTCCCAGCCTCTGTCTTATCAGTAGCCTTGGCCATACGCCCGAAGTAGTTTCTGTGTCATTCTTTGATGTTCCGTTTGACTCTCCACTATGGGCAAAATCGCCCTATACAACCCTAAACTCTAAGTAGTAGCTTCTTGAATTTTCTGTTCCACTATCTCCAGATAACCCTATGACTAATCATATAAAACCCTAAACGAAAGGTTCCAACTTTGGTATCCCTACAAAACCCCTACATAATCCCCATATGACCCTATATCGTAGTTTCCATTTTCCTTTCCATTATCCCTATAAAACCCCAAGACCACGGGGACTCCCCCAAATCCCCACCCCCCTCATATCCTCATATTCCCAATATACTACAGCAGGTATATGATAATGGGAGTTGTTAATATGAAGAGGGGAGGGGTTAATAACAGGGGGAGCGGATTAAGCCTAACAGCCAAACCCCAAATAGTAGCTTCCATGTTCTTTGCCCTTCTCCCTATATAACCCCATAGAACCCTATCTTATCCCTATATAACCCTTTGTAACCCTATATCAGGGGAGGGGATTAAGCCCAACAGCATCCAGAAGATAGCCGGAGTTGCGGTCTCTGCCAAGAGCTGATCACCTGACAGCTGACAGCTGGATGTAGGGTTTAGGGTTTTGAGGGGTTTCAGGGTTTGGGGCTTTAGGGTTTTAGGGTTTGGGGGTTTCAGGGTTTAGGGTTTAGGGTTTTGAGGGGTTTCAGGGTTTCAGGGTTTGGGGCTTTAGGGTTTTAGGGTTTGGGGGTTTCAGGGTTTAGTGAGCCTAAGGTCGGTTAAGGGTTTAGGGGTTTAGGGGTTTAGGGTTAAGGGGTTTAGGGGGTTGGGGTTTAGGGATTTAGGGTTTAAGGGTTCAGGGTTTAGGGATTTGGGGTTTAAGGTTTAGAGATGTAGCGCTTAAGGGTACAGGGAAGGATCAGCTTGGGAAATAAGAGAGTTTCTCAAAACATGGCCCAAAAGACCCTGGGAATTTTGGGGGTTCCCAAATCTAGGGTTTTGTCAGGGTCCCAGAAAAAGGATTGTAGCATTTTGGTGTCTATATTGGGGTCCCCGGGTTTATGCAAACTACCATATGGAGACTGTAAGAAGGCTTTCGGAACCCCAGTATGATGAATGATGACATTTTCAAGGGAAGTCTGACCTGGCCAGATCAGCTGTGTCGGTGCAGGGAGCAGTTTTGCTAGATGCGCAATGAGCCGGGATCACGCATTGTTGCGTCGAGTCTTTTGCGTATGATAGTTCCGTAGAATTGGGGTCTTCTTACATATGCCCCCAAGTAACATGGTAGTTTCCCAAAATGAGGGGACCCCAATATAGACCACAAAATACTATAATCCTTATTATGGGGACCTCCAAAAAAGTACCCCTAATTTTAGGAAACCCCCACATACTCTCCGCAAAAAAAACGTCCACATGAGCCTGTCAGTTGGAGAAACTTTGCTTACCCCATGATGCCTGGAGTTCCACCAGCAGGGGCGCCAAAGCCTGACCAGGAAACGATCGGGTAAATGATCAAGGGTGCAGGGTATGGGCAGTGCAGTGGAAAGTGCTTCTGGGTAGTTTATACATCCCAGGCTCCTCGTTGTGCTGTGAAGCCCAGTTGGCAGGAATTCGGCAACAGCATTGAAGCACTCGGTCACAAAACACGCGGCATCAGCATACCCAGACTACTCAGATGATTTTTGGTTATTGCTCGCACAAACTCACTGCAGCAAGGATATCAGGTAGCAAACGAAGGCCAATTTTTCAGAGCAGGGTTTGGGAGGATTTGCAGTTGCACTTGAATAGATGCCATAAGCGATACATCCCCTGATTTTGGGAAACCCTAAACCCTAATCAGTAGTTTCCAGCTTCTTTTCCATTATCCCTATAATTATAACCCCTATGTTACCCCTACATCACCCTTGTATAGCCCCAACATAACCCCTACATCAGGCAGCTTCACCCAGGCCTCATAGGCGTGGAGGCAACCCTCCGACATGTGAGCGCCATCCTCTTCAAGCCCGACTTACCAGGTTTAGGCTTTAGGGTTTAGGGTTTAGGGCTTTAGGGTTATATAGGGGTTATAGAAGGGTGATATAGGGGTCATATTGGGATAGTGGAAAAAAATGGAAACTATTATAATGGGGTCATAGAGGGTTTTTTATTTTACAACCCTTCGGACTTTTCGTCTGCCTGGCTCGGCAAAGGGTTCTTACCCTGAAACTTTAGGTTTGGGTGAGCGACGGTCCAAATTGGCAACGGGCTTTGTGCAGGAGTTGACAGCAGCACATAGAGGGTTTAGGGTACAGGGGTTGGGGCTACCAAGTGTTAATGTTTGGGGTCTGCAGAAATTTGGAATCCCTTTTTGTGGAACTCCAGAACAAGCATTGCAGTACATTGAGGTATGCTGAAGGCGGTGCCAAAAGGTTAAACGACGAAACACCGACATGTCCAGATGATTAACAAAGTTTGCGTCATAGAAGTGCATCAACAAAAGCTTCTGCTAAGGGTGCACATTTGGGACCCCCAATGTGCTTCCCCAAAGTTGTGATAATTCAAATTGACTGAATCCCAAGTGTGAAATTGTTGGACCCTCAGGGTTAGGGCTCTGATGCAACCGGTGCTAACATACATAGGGGTGATATAGGGGTCATACTGGGATAATGGAAAAGAAAATGGAAACTACTGGGTTTATGAGCGTTGTTGCTTCTCGTTCTCCTCACGGTCAGTGCAACTGCTATTCCGTGTAACGCACTACTGATGTTGGCGACGTTTGTCTTGTTTTCTTTTTTTTTTTAGAGTGCCTAGTCGCAGAAGATGCTTTCCAAAGATCTCTTTGCAAAGCCCCCTAAACCCCCTAGACCCCCCAAGTCGTAAACCCTACATCCGCTGCCCCAAGACCCTTGACCATACAACCTATACCTCAAACAAACCCACCAACCCTAAACTTACTGGTGCTTAGTAGGGAGTATGTGAATTTAATATATAGGGATTATATAGGGATCATATTTCCTTATCCCCTACTAACCCAATATATGCCCACATAACCCGATATATTCCCGTATTCCCTACTAAGAAACAGTAATCCCAACTCCAAAAAATACTTTCCCTACATAGGGTAGCCCTAATATACACCCCAAAATAGTACCACTCTTATTCTGGGGACCCCCAGAGAGGTATCCCTATTTCTCGGAAACCCTGAACCCTAAATCATAGTTTCCATGTTCTTTTCCATTATCCCTACATAACCCCTACATAAGCCCTCTATAATCCCTATATAAATCCCCTACATGAACCCCTCTTCTCCATTATAACCCCAATATATTCCAACTCCCACGGTCCTGCACCCTAGATAACCCAAAATGATCCCCGTAGCCCTAGAAATGGTTCAGGATTTAGAGTTTAGGGTTAAGGCTTTAGGCTTATAACCTACATAACCCCATATTACCCCTGTATAATCCCCAAACTCAAACCCTAGACCCTAAACCCTAACCCGAAAATCCTAAACCCTAAACCCTACACCCTAAACCCTGAACCCTGAACCCTAAGCCCTTAACTCCAAAGGTCCTGCAGGGCAAGAGCCACCAAGCAAGGCCAGGTTCGGGCTTCGCAGAGGCTCAGCAGCGCAGCTGCCAGACCCTTGCCATGCTGGCAGTTATATAGGGATTTTTTTGTAGGGTTTAGGGTTCATATAGGGATTATAGTATAGGGTTTAGGGATTATGTAGGGGGAAAATGGGTGCTACATAAGGATAATGGGCTATTTTATAGGGATGTTATAGAGTTGTATTGGGGTAATAATAGGGGTTCTATACGGATAACGGAAAAGAACATGGAAACTACTATGACTATTTAGGTTAGGGTTTCCGACAATTAGGGATGCCTTCTGGGGGCCCCCATAACAAGAGTTATAGGATTCGGTAGGTCTATTTTACGGTCCCCCTATATAGGGAAACTACTCTTTAGGATCCTTAAACTTCTGTTTTGGCTCTTAGGGTTTTGGGTTTAGGTTTTGGGGCTTAGGGTTTAGGGTTTAGGGTATTGGGTTCAGGGTGTTGGATAGTAACATTCGTTTCCCAGCAAACTCATAACAGAGATTCGATAGGATTGGGCCCGGCAATCAATACTGAAGGTACAGGTTTACTATACGGATTCTCAAGATAATCAGTCCTGCTGGTCTGGGCTGGGCTTGGGCAACCCTTCTGATGAATTTAGCCGCATCGCACCATACGTAAAAAACATTTTTGAAAAATGCAGAGCTGCTCGAGTCTTTTGTAGATCTAGGGCAGCCGGACAAACTTGCTTTTTATGTTTGATATTGTTTTTTCGTTCAATCATTCATTCCCACCAGAATCAAATTAGCTCAGACGTGCAACACATTTTATGCAAAATTGTCAAATTCCGGTAACATAATAAGATAATTCAGTCAATCTAATCATACTTGACTTGAGAATATGAAAAAATACGTATGCAATCGACTTAATTGTTTCAACATCCAATAATAAAACATAAACAACATAAGATGATACATATGTATAACATATACATACACATGTACTCCATACTCGCTTTCTAGAAACATGAACACATGTATGCAAATGATGCATGGTATATGCATTTCTCGCTTTCTGAAATAAAGCACTGAACACGTAACACAAACACACGTATGCAATCGATTCAGTTGGTTGTCGACTGCTGCCACAATTGTAGGTCCATGTATGTTGTGCAGTACAACAATCATCCGTGAATCAGCATGTTGCAATGATCCAGTCAGCCACTCAGAATAGTGTAAATCTCATTCCCCGGATGCGTGCAAGACGTTGTTAATTACGGCACTCCTTTATTCAATATGTCGTTCACTTGAGTATCGTTTTCCGGAAGCATACATTACAACATTACAATTCAAGAATCAATCTCACATCCGATATGTTGTATGTGTGTAGTTAGCAAGTTAGCTAGGTGAACAGTTTAGGGTTTTGGAGGTTTGGGTTTCGGATGGTCTTCTTTGGAGACCTCAACCGAGGGGGACGATATTGAGGTTCGAGACTTTGGCCCAGGACTTCAGTTTCCAAAGCCTGGATCGGGGTAGTTTCAGAAGTTTGGGATTTTTGCGGCTTGAGGGATTTGATTTCAAAGGTGTGGGATAATTAAGGGGTTACCAGGATTTTGGTCAGGATCTCCCGCGCCTGCAATCTGAAATCCAGCTCCCTCAAACAGCTTTCCCCAGAACTCCATATGTTAACTTACTTAGCTTAAGTTACTAGATTGGGGAAACCATATTAATCACAATATATACCCATTATGGTAACCCGAAATCCTATATACCCTGTATAATATACATACGCAAATCAAATCGGCTAAGACGACGTTTTCACTAAGGGTTGGTGACGTTCTAGGCTACAAAGCCTTGGCAGAATCATCGCCACACTCAACTTTCAGGCTTCTCTTGCATGCAATAAAGAGACTCAAATACCTTGTAAGGTCCGAGATCACATGCATCATGGAGGTTTCCTAAAATTAGGGGTCATAGCAATTCGGGATCTACTTTGGGCTCCCCTTTTTCTCTAAGGGATTTGGAACCCCAGTAGAAATTATAGTTTCAGCTAAGTATTAGGAATGTTGGTAACAGAAATTAATAATTATTTCCAGGAACCTTGTAGTTTTGGAGGGAAACTACCAAAGTATTCATGGCATCTAGGGCAAAGCTTTTGCGCCTCCACGAAGTTGGGTGGAGGCAGGGCCGGAACAGCATCACTTCCTGCAGCCAGCCCTCAAGAGCTCCCCAGACCCCCAAAGGGATCTAAAAATTAGATCCCTAGAAGACTATGGGCAAGTATATAGGGATTATATAGGGCATATTATGGCTTTATAGGGGATCTAATTTTTAGATCCTCCCAGGGGTCTAGCTCTTTCTTCTGCGTATGAAAGCAAATTTGCGTCCCAAGGTCGTCACCACTAAAGGCACTTGTCCACAAGCCAGCCAAGTATGGCTCCTGTGCAAGCGACATGTAAAAGAAGTGCTTCTCTTTCTGGCTAGTCCAAGTGGGAGAGAACTGTGTGGGGTGATTGTTGTCGATACAAGTACCATCAAGTACCTAGACTGGCAACACACGGTGTAGCCTTCTACGTCAAACCGGTCCCCTTCCTGGCTCTGACCATATTCCGCAACAAGCCATGAAACAGGTGCGGCACGCACCCTAGCTTGCTTGCCTGCGAATACAGCACCATTGAACGCGCGGCGCTCCTCCGGTCTGCGGTGATCACAGCTGCACCATTCCGCCCGCAGAATTCTATCCAAATAGAGAACCTGCAGTGAGCGTCATGCTTGCTATATTTGCGGTGCCATCAAAAGGCAATGTCAGAAAAAACAAACAGGCAAAGGGCGCCTGTGGTCTCCCCGGCAAGGCAGACAGCAGGGCATCTGCCCAAGCTGCTGCATAGTCTCCTGACACCTGAAAAGAGGTACTTGTCACACCAAGTTTGAAAAGATCGCAAGAGGTACTTGTCCAAGACTGCGTAATGTTTGAAATCCTGCTGATTTCGAAAAAGCCTTGATGTTAGCATCTACTCAGCAAGAGTTCCAGCATCATGCTGAGAGGCTTGCATGTGTCTCCAGCAGGGCGACCAGCACACCTTGCGAGGCCTCAGCCAATGGCCGCAAGCAAGCCCCATGATGTGAGCCATAGTAACTCCGTAGAAGGGTGTATACAGGGATTTATGTAGGGGAGTATTATAGGGGTGATTGAGGGGGATACTAGGAGTTTAGACTCTAGATCTGGTATCTAGCTGCTACCTGTCAGACGTTGGCCTTGGCTTGCTTCGATGACGTGCTTGGCTGGTCGTTCGAGATGGGGATTAACAAGTACTTCTGGGAATGTCTTACAAATGCCTGCAAGCACCCCGGATACAATTGCAATTGCGTTCGTCCTACCTACAACAATCTGCAAGACGCACATCCCATAAAGCGATGACAGCTCCATAGACGCGGGCCTCAAAGAATTTTGGCGGCCGTGGAGGCGGCAAGGCCCGCAGTGGAGAGTCCTTGCCAAAGGAAATCAAATGTTGCGGTCGCTGCGATCAACGAGGGATAATGGACAAGAAAATGGAAAATGCTATAGTCGAATATATAGGTTACATAGGGGACAAGGGAAAGAAACTGGAAACTACTACAGTATATTGGGGTTTTATAGGGATCATGGAAAAGAAAATGGAAACTACTATTTCGGGTTCAGGGTTTAGGGGAATAGGAACACCCCGTGGTAAATGATTGACACTGACCCGCTGGCTTCGCGGTGAATGGCACATACATCATCCAGACCCCACCCTAAACCCTAAACCCTTAAACCCTAAACCCTTAAACCCTTAAACCCTAAACCCTTAAACCCTAAACCCTAAACCCTTAAACCCTAAACCCTAAACCGTGTGGCTCCATACATCATCCAGACCCCACCCTACGGTAGCAGATCCCTTAAGGCATGGTATGGGCCTGGGTGACATGAACATATGAGCTATAGTCTAAACTCCCTAAAGGGAGGGTACAAGGGGATTCTATAGGGGACTACTATGGGGGTTATTAAGGGGGATACTAGGAGTTTAGATTATGGCTCAGCATATGGGAGTTTCTCAAAAAGGGGGTAATTTAGGGACCCCAGGGGATATATAGGGATTATATAGGGATTATGAGGGTCCTTATTAGGGATTGTATAGGGATAATATTGAGAAATACCCATATGCCTACAAGAAAGAATACTCTGACGAACCCTCCGACCACGCAAATGATACCGGGTGCATTTGACAGAAAGAATTGGCGCAACAGTCTAGGAAACGCTGAAAAGTGAACGCCCTGATGAACCCCAACAACATAACTCTCATTACAAGAGTCCCATAATTTTCTTAGAGAGATCTTACATCCTAAAAGCGAAGCCGAAAGCCCCTAAATAGTAGCTTCTATTTTCTTTTCCATTATCCTAATATATCACCAATGTATCCCCTAGTATGTACCCGTCTCCATTGTCTTTTCCATCATCCTCGTAAATCCCCAATATATCCCCTAATACCATATAGTTTGGAAACCGGATATTACCCCCAATATTATAATAGTTTCCATCCTATATTCCATTATCCCAATGTAGCGCGTTTGGAAACGTATGATGTCTTCTCTTCCGCGGCCTCTTGGGGCTCCAAGCGCAATGGCCTTCGCTCAATTGCGAGGTTCGTCAAGGGGCGTAGCGTTGAGGGAATCAGGCTTTCAAGGGATTGTTGGTTTAGGGCTTAGGGGGGCTTATAAGGGCTCCATGTCTAGAAACTTCCACATCGGGCTTCAGAAAACATGACAAGGTTCAAGGGAATAAAATAAGTGTGCCAAAAGAAGCGGTAACATCCAAATAATACGACTGCTGAGCATAACCTCTACGCAATCCTGAATAATCCCTAGATAATCCCTATGTAACACCTATATAATCACCATATAGTCCCTATATCACCCTGCATAACCCATAATTCTGGTTATACATGTAAAGGCCAGGTCCCCGGCAGCGATTTTAAGTTGAAGGCCTGCAAGGCAAAAGCGCTGGCCGGGCCTGGGTATGAGCGGCTTGTCTAGTTAAACCCTAAACTCCATAAACTCTGAAGCCTAAACTCTGAGTTTATGAAACTTTTCTTGTGTGGGTGTAAGGCCCTGGGGTTCAGACTTGAGCTGGTTTAGAGCGTATGATTGAGGTAGGTGTGCAACTTAGCTCTTGGGACCTCTGGCGTCTCACAAATGTAAGCTCGGCAGAAAACCAACAGTTTCCAGTTATCACATGGAGACAGGTTAACGAGGTCTCCAATCCCAGACACCACCACCACCACCACCAGCTCATACAGCGATGATGACGGAACCAAGAGCCGCAGCAGAGACAGCAGAGCGTGGCAGAGCAGCCACCACCGCCGCTACCGTCAGCCCCACGGCACCGCGTCGCGGCGTAGCAGCTGCAGCAATCACATGAGTGGCAGATAGTGGCGAGTCAGCGTCGCAGATTCAACTCCTGACTTGGCGGCCGACCAGGCCCACAAACAACCAAGGTTTGGCAAGCATGACCTTCCGTACCTGGCTCACGAGCAATAAAGCACCTTGAAAGAGCTGGCGTGAAGACTCGAAAGATGCTCATCTGCGTCAACTACCTTCATCATTCGAACTGCCCATGTCCCGCAGGAAATCTGCATAATCTAGCCAATCCGCAGGAATGAAGGCCTGCCTGAAAACACGAAGTTCACATCCGGCTGCTCATCGTCATCATCTGACCTAGCAGCCGATGAAATGGATCAAGCTTGGCCAACTTCTGAATCCCTTTAACCCCTAGACAGACCCCAACCCCAAACCCTAAACCCTAAACCGTAAAGCCCAAGCCCTAAACCATAAACCCTAAACCCCAAGCCATAGACCCTGAAGCAAAGTTCATTCTGAGGTCCCGGCACACAAGCCTGAATTTGATCCAGCAGGCCATGAATCATAGCTATAGAGTTTGTACAGGGTTCATATCGGGTTATATAGGGTTGTTATAAGGCTTTTACAGGGCTTTCATAAGGCTTTTATAGGGCTCATAGGGTTCTTAGGGTTCAGGGTGTATGCAGGGTCTATATTTCCCATCACATGCACATGCTGGATGGTTGCGGATTGATTGGAAACCTGGACATGCCCCCATTATTAATTATTGACATGTAGCAATTTAGCGGCACTGTATACTGGGCCAACCGTCAGACATACAGGAATACTCCAAGTTCCCTGAACAACGGGTAGAAATTACAATTTCAGCTGGGTATTAGAATTATTGATAACGGAAAGGAAAAAACAAATCGAGGGAACTCCCAGTATGTACGGGATCTAGCTACAACATTCAATGATTTGGATTCCGCGTCGTGGAGCACGCACGACTGCGTCGCAAGCCTTGGACAACACGGACAGCTCAAGGAGACAGTCGCGTCAAATGAGCCATATATATATATATAGGGATATCACCCCAATAATAATGGATACTCAAATGGAAAAGAAAATGGAAACTGGGATTATATAGGGGTTTATATGAACCATAGTCTACACTCCTGGCATCCCACCTTGATAACCCCCTATATAATCCCTTGTATGACCCTCCTTTAAGGAGTTTAGACTACTGCTCAAATGTTGTTAAGAATTCGCACTCCCGTTTGGCAACATGCTGGGCGTTGTAAAACAAACGTAACAGAAGCTGACAAGCAGGATCGTGCTGCCCCAATCGTGTTGCCACAATCAAGCTCAAACCGTACCGCATCATCCCCTCATCATCTTACAGCACATGTCACGCACACTAGTACTTTCCATCCTACACATAATACTTCCACGTAAGCGGCAATCATTCCACAATTCCTTCTGGCGCGCCATCCATTTAGGGATATTCCATGTTCTCTAGCAAAAATAATACACATGCAGATAGACGGTGGAGCTCAAGTCCCCTTCTTTGACTCCTCCGAAAGGTCTGAAACTTTGTCCCTGGCCACAGATCTTCAGTAAAGCATCTCCCAAGTTTAGCTCTCAGCCGATGGCCAGCCTCACTTGGTGACCTTTCACTTCAGCTTCTAGGATCTTGGGGGCCTAAACAACTAAACGCTAAGCCCTAAATTTACTCATCTTTTATTGTAGAACCCCAATACACTAGTTTCCATTTTCTTTTCCATTATCTCAATATTACCCCCTATATAACCAAAAATGCGTCTGCACCCATCTCGCACGCTCTTCAAGTTGCAAGACGAGGCCTGTCTGCTCTACAAGCGGTGAGACATGGCTGCACATGGGGGTTTCCCAAAAATTAAGGGAGCCTTTTTGGTGGTTCCCATAATAAGGCTTAAAGTATTTCGGGGTCTATATATTGGGGTCCGTGAAGATGGAAACTACCACATCTCTGCGGCTGCTTCGACTGGATGGTGGCGCAGTATGTCCAGCACGTAGAACCTGGGCGCGGACAATATTTGTTCTTTGCCTCGGGCTTCCCGATTCCCGAAAGCTCAAGATTCAGGCTTCGACACCTCGAAGACCACTTCTTGAGGTGTGTTGACACTGAGACACATTCCTGAAGGCAGAGGAGGAATCCGAGATCTGTCGCCCAGCAACTTGCTGTGGGAAGAGATTGCTGTAAGAGGTGTAACCCCTGTCATGACTCCTGCTGAACCCTCTGAAGCTGATGCCAAAAAGCTTAAGGCAAGGCGATGCGCCTCCCTGCAGACCTTACAGGGGATGCAGCCTTTTCGTACGAACCGTCAGCGCACGGCATAGCGGCTGATGCAGCCGGCAGCTGTTGGCTGTTGCAGGGTGGGCCTACGGCGCACGCAGGCGGGGCGTCTTGCAGTATTAACGATGTAGATGGCAAGCAGGGTGCATCTGGTGGGTGCTGTGTGCTAGTTGGACCAGGCAGCTGAAAGGCGACAGCGCTGGGCGCAGCGCGGAGGTTGGGGTTGCAGCGAAGTCTGGCGCGGCTTTGGCTCGAGCAGCCAGCGGACCCACAAAGCATCTGCTCCTTGCACTTCAAGGCCAGATGCAGTGTTGACCGCGCACGAAATCCTTCGGGGCCTCCGCCGGCAGCATCGAGCCTTCGGCCGGCCGAACTGGCACCGCCCCAGCCGAGCCGTAGCAACGCAGCAGTTTGAGCAGCTCGAGCCCAAGCAGGCGGGCATGGGCGGCGTCGAGCAGTGGAGACTGGAGGACGCGGATGAAGTCGGGCGGGCCTGGGCTGTAAGGCCACAGGCTCTGGATGGCTCTGCCACGGCATGAGGCGTGACCGGCCGAAGAAGGCAGCATCGACATGACACCTGATGGCGAGACCACGCACGCGAATGGCTGTGCACAAATGGCGTGTCAGCTACGCAGGCTGCATGGTGAGAGGCTGCACCGAACGTGTTGCACGGGCTGGCTGCACAGGGTCCAGCCCATGAGTTCATGACACAGGCCGCCCTCAGCTCACAGCTCAGCTTCCACGATCTTTAACACATCTCACACGATCTTCAAGCTGCAAGCCGAGGCCTGTCGTCTGCTCCCAAGGCACCCCGCTCCGCTTCGAAAGGTCGTCGGCGGCAGCGGCTGCGCTCCCCGCGGCTGCCTCGACCGAAACGCACTGCAGCATGGCCGCCCGGCGCAAGGCCGGGCCGCTTGCGCCATCATCGGGCCATCATCCGCATCGCCAGCGAGGGCCCTCAGCCTGCGACTTCGCAGCAAAAATGGGATCGGCACGTCCTCAGGAGAGACGGTCAAAATGCATTTAATTACCAATCTCACTGGCCCCTTGGGCTTTGGGCTTCATGAGATGTCAAGAGTCAAGGTTCGGGCTTCGACACCCCAAGCGAGACCTGGTGGCGCCACGCTTAGGTGTCGCGCAGACCTCTACACCGAGGCATCGTGCATCGCTTCCGAAGGCCCGGAACCGCGGAACAGGTCAAGAATGATCTGCCAGCCATCTGTCGTGCGCAGAGGGTGCTGGAAGTACTGCAACGCCTACCCACACGCTGCTGAAGATTCTGATTCGGATGCCAAAACAAGACGTTGAAAAAAGACAGCACGCAGGTCCTGCAAACCATGCAAACGATGCAGCCTTCGTGGGCACACCTTCATGGTGCGGCATAATGCCGGATGCAGCCGGCAGAGGCGCGCTACTGCAGGGTTGGCCCACCGCGCACGCATGCGGGGCTTGTTGCACCGTGGCGATTTGAACGCCTTCGTCATTGCTAGGCGCGGCTGGCGAAAGGTCTGGCCGCAGTGGCGTTGGGGATGCAAATTGGGAAGTTGCCCTGAGGAAGGTGGGACTGAAGCGCTTGCCTGCTAGCTAGATGGACACGTGTGCGTCTGGGCTGGCAGAGTCTGCTCCGAATGTTGCGCAAGGACGGATCACCCGCTTGCGCTTGCACCCTTCGAGCCTCATGACAACAAAGTGAAAGAATTGTCAAGTCGATGTCTAAGTCCTGCCTCCGATTTCTCAGAAGCCAAGTGCTTTCAGGGCTTCGCCACACTTGCCAGAGCCCTTGAGAACGTTCAAGCAAATCCCAACACCAGGTTGCTTGGCTGTTCCTATGGCAAGCTGGAAGCCCGTTCTCCGGGTGGTGTGGCCGCGAAACTCGCGGAACCACGGCTGCAAAGATCGCGTCAAGCTCTTGCTTTCAGGGTCGCTTCACTGTGCCAAGCCTCCAACGGCAGGCGAACGCACGGGCCTGGGGAGGGCCCGGCGTGGCTTGGGGCTCACTGCACGACATCTGACCTGGCTGGGGCCGATGCGCATGAGGGCGGGGCGGGTGAGGGAGGCTCCGCAACACACGCAGAGTCACACCGTTCATGCACTGCACGCCCCTGGCGGCCCTAGCGCTATCTCGTAAAATTCTGGTGCTGCTGAGCCACCATGTGATTGGCGTCGTCCGCTGTGGACACTGCGCCTGTGCTGCCGGGTGCAAGTGGCGCTTTCGCAAGGCAAGGGGCCACCGACACGGGCGGCACACAGGCAACTGGCATGCATGCCGGACGACGGTGTGCATCTTCGAGCATATGGCGAGGATTCCTGCGAATTGCTTCGGGCACGTGGCCTCAGTGGCCGCGCAGAGCACAGGGCCTATGGCCTCTGCTTACGCAGGAGGCGCACACTGCGAACTCCGGATAGGGCTGGGCAGAGACGCAAGGACTTCGCAACTTGAAGAGTGCGGAGCGCGCTCACCACCACACGCACGGAGACGCGAGACTCCGCGCAGGGGACATCGCTCATGCAGTCGGCCAGCAAAGGTGCCACGAGATGTGCCCCGCTTGCTGTCCCAAAAACACTGAATCGGAAGATCTTTGAAGATTTTGAACTATCGGCAGAAGCTGCGAACAGCAGCTGCAAGCAGCTGCAAGCAGCCGCAGGAGCCGGGTGGAGCAGCGGCACAGAAGCGGGCATGCAGCATGGGAGGATCAAGTTCATGCTCCCTGCTTTGGCAAGATGAACCGCCAAGCCCAACTTGAGCCTCAGTGCTCTTCGCAATCTGCGCTCTGCTGCACTGCCCTTGCCTGCAAACTCCGCTGCCCCAGCGGCCGTGGAGGGTTCCGCAGTCAGGCTAAATCTGTCA